ATGTGCTTGTTGGCCATCTGAATGTCTTCTTTGGTGAAGTGTCTGTTCATATCCTGTGACCATTTTTCAACTGGATTATTCACCTTTATCTTGTTGTGGTGCATCCTTTGATTCTTATTCTTTTCCAGTTTATTTTATTTCCAAGAGTTCATGTCTTTTTAAAAGGCAGGTGTGACACAGTTATGTCGTGGATTTACTCCTCTAATCTCTCACCTAGACACACTCTTAGTGGAAGTACAAAGACACAAAATCCCTTGCTTCCCTTCTAGGAACTGTCTCCACTTTCAATTCTTGATTACTTTGTTCTGTCTTACAGGCTTTCCCAAAATGCTTTGCAGTTCTGGGTGGTACATGTTCAAAAGACAGCTCAAAGTTCTGTGCATTTGGGTGGAACTTGTAAACGATGGTATCCTGGCAGGATGATGTGCCTGGGTCATTCATTGGGAAACCCCATGGGTTAATCCCAGAAATGCTCAGTTAAGATGCTGTCAGTACTCCGCCCCCTAGACTTAATTGCTAGCATCATTTGGGCAGTGAAGTTGGGGGAGAGGCCAGAGATCCCAACATTCAATATATCAGGTTTTACCGACAGCTGTTCTCAGGATGGTGCCCCCACCCTCACTTGTCCCTGGCTAAACTCAGTCATCTACCTGGGTTGAGGAGAAGCAGACACCAGCTATAGGGACTAGGGGGTGGCTGGGTGCTTCGTTGAGACAGTCATTCTGTTTTCAGCCTCTACTTTATGCCTAGTACAGAGCTTCCTGATCCTTCAGTCAGGGGGATGTGGGAGTGGGGAAGCTCCATTTCTTCCTAGCTTTCCTCGATGCCAATCTCAGATTCCGAGTTGTAAGCCAGTGTTCACACACCTCCTTTCCCATGTGCTCTCAGGCCCTCAGGGATTATTGTTGTCTTTGTGTCCATTCCTTTCACAATCCCTCCACTCTGTTTAACAAGGATCAGGGGAGGAAGGCCTAAACCATGTTTGACTGCAGTTTTTCATGCATTGCTTTCAAAAAAGAAATATTCTTTCTGAAAATGAAGTAATACACATTCACAAATTTTACAAAGCAAAGGAAATATGAGTTTGGTATGTTTCCATGCAAAGCTTTGCCCCTACTTCTGTCTACACATTGTATTTATCCTTTGTGTGATTAACCTCCCAGCAACCACGACGATCCGTGTGTCTGCTTGCCACTCAGAGATAAACCTGAAACAACTGTCAGTTTGTTTGCCCCTTGCTGTTCACCTTCCATGTACTCTCATCAGGCTTCCACTCTGAGGTGCCACCAACATTCTCTCAATAAAGTCACGGGTAATCTCCAGTCTGCACATCCAAAGGACAGTGTACGGACATGCCTGATCATGCCAGGATGTGCCTGAGCTCAAATCCAGTAGACACTTCCCAGTCTTCCGTTCCTAAACCACACAGCAAGACTCAACCCTGCTCTCCTCTGAAATTTCAACTGTGCACTGTTAGGAATTTCTATATCCTGGTCACTCCTCCTCTGTCTTCTTTAGTCTGCTGGTTTCCTTTTGTCTTTCTAGATGTTACAACAGTAATTTTATAATTAGAATCACCTTGCAAGATTTGGAAGAACTACAGTGACATTTGTGAGAGCTGGGACTCAGGCTGTCTTGTTTCCTGGGTCTCACAGCCAGCCCCTCCACTGGGCTCCAGATAGCTTCAGGGGAGAAGGTCCAGGTTAACCTTCTCTAACAGCGTCCTGCCTGAAAGAGGTTACAGCTTCCACAAGCCTCAGTGAATGAACATCAGGCCCGCCCAGGCAGATGCATGTCCATGTTGCCAGAGATCTGAGAGTCAACCTTAGCACCGCTCATCCCTCGCATTCAGCAGTCAGGCAAAACTGAGTGCTTCCTGCTCTGCTGACCCAGGGATCTTGGGAATGCCCACTTCTCTCTGGGGCTAGGCCATGCATGTCTCCTGCACTGGGGTCGGAGGCTGAGTGAAGGGAACACTGTCCCATTCGTCAGGTTTCCTCCAAAAGGCCTGGATGAGGCCTTTCATACCACGTCTCCTAGTCCTGGCCTCCTCTCCACAGTTTTTTTCATGGCTAAAACTGTTGTTTTTATATATGTGATGTGTTTTCATTGTTAACACCAGCCTCTCCGGGACTACGGCATAAAAGAGCCTGGGGAATATGTAGTTCTTGACAATATTTGAAGAGCTAAATAAAAAGCAAACAAATGAAATGTATAAACACTCTTCATAAATATTCTCATGCCCATGTAAAAGAAGATCCTCCTTCATTGTAGTATGTGTATGTATATCTTAATCAACATCTGAAATTCAATGACTCTCCAAACCTGCTGCAGAGCTGACCTTGACCCACAAGAACCCTGCGGTGGGTTTCTGAGGCTGGCAGCCTTTACACGGAGACTGCCTACCTTTACACTAAAAGCAGCTGGTGCATTTGAACCACCAACTATTTTGGTTGGCAGCCCAAGAGGCAATGTGGCATGCCACTATGGCTTCTTACGGATTCCCAGGGTGATCAGGTGAAGATTGTTTTTAATTACCTTAATACAAATTTGAAGACTGAGACCACCAAACTGTTTTCTACAAAGACTGAAACTGCTACCCTCTCAGCAGCTCTGTAGGAGTCGTCCAACTTTTCATCTGCCTTCTTGGCTTTTGTTTTGTGTGAGGTGATGATGGTACCTGGCCCTCAAGGTTTCCACTATGCCCTTCCTAGGCTGGAAACGGGAGCCTCTGCTCTGCGTGTTTTGAGGGCAGGGCTAATATCTGAATTGTCTCTGTGTCTTTGCCTTAGGGATCCAAATAGGCAGTGCACAAAGTGAATTTACTTAGCTTTTATGTAAGCTGGTATGTTTTCATGTCCAGTGCATTTAGAACCATGAAAATCCTGTTTTCTAGGCTTTTCTCCTGGAAGAAGACACTCGACAGACAAGCCACCCAGGGCAGGATCTGATGCTGCAGTCACAGAAGACGTCCACCTTCTGTAGGCTGCTGGTCAACACAGAGGGCAAGTTCATGGCGGCCTGTGGGGCAGTGCCCTCCACCCACTCTGGCTCCATGTGTCCGGAGACAGCTAGTGGAACAAATGGCGCATTTCAGCCACACAGGACACCTCTGTGAGGCCGCTGCTTCCCTCTGATGCTTGGCCTGATGGGCAGGTTTCAGAACCAGCCCAGCTGGGAGGGATATGCAGTTACTGCTCCGTGACCTGATCCCATTCTGTGGGAGGCACATCTCTGATGATGGTGCGAACACATGACAAAGAAAGGAAAGTGCTCCAAGGCCAGCATCTGGCCTGCAAATCCTGCTGGGACGTGAGCTTATACTGTTGGATCTCCACCACAAACACCCTCTGCTAGTCTCCTTCTGGGCCCCCAAGGCTGCCTCCCTCTCTCCTACCTCCAGTCTCACTCTCCAAAATGAACCTTGTGTCTAGGTGTGGCCACTCAAATCTTAAATGCAGACTTTCTTTCAAGCAAAGCATCACTCTGGCTTGTGCCACACCTCGCCTCCTCTCCCCGTCCTCATCTGCTTTTAATTCATCTTTCTGTCTGCTAAAATGATCCACCTCTCCCTCATTGCTAAGCATCCCCTAGAAATGATACTGGCTAGCTCTCTTGACAAACATATTTTCTCAGGTGTTCTCTTTCTCCCATCAGTTATCTTCAACTTCACTCTTACAACACCAAATATACTCACTGTGCTGAATGCACCATGGACTGCCAAAAATTAAAAACCCAAACAAACCTATCTTGGAGAAAGTGTAGCGAGAATGCTCCTTGGAAGCCAGGATAAGGAGACTTCATCTCATATATCTGGGCCCTGTTATTAGGAGGGGCCAGTCCTTGAAAAAGAACATCAAGCTTGAAAAAAGTAGAGTGCATTCAAAGAGAGGACGCCATCAAGGACCTGGGTTGACTCAGTGTCTGTGATGATGGGCTCATAGAGCGATGGAGCGGGCAGCAGCCTCCCTCGCCTTCACAGGGTTGCTGGGTTAGAGTGGCCCGGATGGCCACCACATGGGGTCGACATGGTTCAATCTATGTCTGGAATTTTTCCTGAGAGTCAATTTCTAGATCCCCTAATTAGTAACATTACTTCGTACAAGACTGAGCATTTGGTCCCAAGCAGTATTCCCAATGAGGCAATCCCCCTTTTCCAAAGATCAGATCACACAGAGTGTGGCTGTTTCCAAACAGTGCAGCAGTGCACCAGGGATGAGCCTTCCCTTCCCATTCAGATCCTCGAAAGAGTTGACGAAGTGCAAAGGCAATTCTAGAGCAGGGAATTCCTGACAGTAACTAGCTGAGGAGGTGCTCACAGAGTGCGTCACAGGTGGTACGCTGATGAGGACTAGTACCTCCTGGGGCATCGCTACCTGCCAGCCGCCCGCCAAGCCCTCCGGTTCCACGGCCTTTCCAATGCTACTCCACGGACGAGACCAGTCCATCACTACCGCGCCAGCCACCAGCCAAGCCCTCCGTTTCATGGCCACCTAATACTCTGTGGACAAGACTGGCACTACGGCTACCCGCAAGTGAGCAGAGACCCTGGCCGCAGTCCAGCCTGAGGATCCAGGTCAGGTCCCAGCGAACGACCCCTGGGCACATCTGTCAGTTCTAACTGCTGCATCAGAACACTGTTCTGCCACTGTTTATTCCTTTTAGGATTTTCAGGTAAAGCCTAGGTTTCTAGGCCTCCCCTGCACCAGTCGTGGCACTCAGGTATGTGGCCTTTTTGTGGAGCACTCCAGTGACGTGAGCCAGAAGACTCTGGCAGCTGACTGCCTCCTCTGCCCTCCTGACCGTCAGGTGGGGCCTGGCCACACCTCGTGGTCCAGGTGATACGCTCACCAGCATCCTTCCTGCTCAAACCCTGGAGGGGCAGACCCTGACAGAACAAAGCCTGAGGTCACACTCCTCAGAGCTCTAGGCTTTAAGAGCTGTGCTGGTGACGATACCCGGCTCCATTGCCAGGGAACACCCCTCAGCCGCTCACTCACCAGCACTGGGATCTGCAGGGGCCTCGCCTTCCTCCGAATCCTCTTGCTCCTGTGCCGTCGGCCGCTCCCCTCGCTCCATCTGTGACATCAGGTCTGGCTTGGAAATTGCATAGTCTGGGCAGAAAAAAGGGAGAGAGACCATGGGAGATCCAGTCGCTGGCATGATGTTAGGGGTCTTGGTGAGGGGAGGCCAGAACACCCTCTGCCAGGGGCTAGCAGAGCTGGAAACAGAATCCTCTCGAGTGCCTTACGTGTGTGTGCCCTGCAAGTGTGTGAGGCACAATCCACCCAGGGACTGGCAAAGGCACAGCCCACTTGCCCATGGACAGGGCCCTGTGCTCACAGTAATCCATGTCTTCTCAGGATGTGTGTGGCAAAGGCATGACATGACTAGCATTTTATAAAGTAAAAAAATGAATCCTGACACAAAACCTAGAAACTGTAAAATAAAACAGTGATACATTTCCATTCGCAAAAAGTTTAAGTCCATTGGAAATAAAATTAAAAAGATTTTAAAGAATTTCAATAAACAACATATATAAAGACCAATGGTGATAAAGGAAGAAGTTCAGGCTACTTTGAAGGACTTGGGAAAAAAGAAAGCCCCGGGAATTGATTGGATATCTATCAACTGACATATTTCAAAAAACAGTTGCTGCTCTGGATGTGCTCACCAGGTTGTGCAAAAAAATCTGGAGGACAGCTACCTGGCCAACTTACTGAAAGAGTTTATTCCCATTCCAAAAGAAGGTGACCCAACAGAGTGCAGAATTATCAAATAATATCACATGTAAGCAAAGTCCTGCTGAAGATTATCCAGAAACAATTGGGACAGTACAATGACATAGAACTACGAGAAATACAAGCTGGGTTTAGACTAGGCCATGAGACTAGAGACAATCTTGGCAAAAAGGAAAGAGTACCAGAGGGATCTTTATCTGTGTTTCAATGACTATGCAAAAGCATTTGACTGTGTGGATTACAACAAACTGTGGCTATCCTTGAGGAGAATGGGAATCCCAAAACATCTGATTGTGCTTATGTGAAACCTAAACCTGGACCAGGAGGCAGCCCTCAGAATACAGCAGGGAAACACTGCATGGTTCAAAATCTGGAAAGTAGTACGTCAGGAATGCATCCTGTCCCCATACCTTTTCAATCTATATGCACAACAGATCATTCAGGAGGCTGGGCTTTATGAGGGGGAATATGGCATCAAGATTGGAGGAAGACTCACCAACAACCTAGTTATGCAGATGACACAACCTTGCTTGCTGAAACTGAGGCACTTGCTGCAGAAGGTCAAGGGCTGTAGTCTTCAACATGGATGGAAGGTCAACATCAAAAAGACAAAGCCTCTCACCACTGGGCTAATTGGCACTAATTGGCTAATTAGCAATTGATGGATGGAGAAGAGATTGAGGTTGATAACAGTTAACAGCTTGCTTGGCTCCACAATCTACACTCTTGGCACCAGCAGTCAGAAAATCAAAAGATGAATTGCACTTGGAAAATCTATAGACAGGGACCTTTCTGGAGTACTGAGAAGCAATGATGTCAGCCTAGAGACTAAGGTGTGCCTGATCCAGGTCATGGTCTTTGCAATTACTTGCTATGCATCAGAGAGCTGGACCATTACTAAGGATGACAGAAGAATTGATGTCTTTGAGTTGTGGTGCTGGAGAAGAGTCTTGAACATCCCATGGACCACCAAGAAAACAAATGGGTATGTCCTGGAGAGGGTGAAACTAGGTTTCTCCTTAGAGGCTAGGATTCTGAAGCTCCATCTCACATACTTTGGGCATGTGGCCAAAGGGACATCTTGGAGAAGGACATCTTGCTTGGAAGGATGGATGGACAGTTCAGGAGAGGAAGACCCCAGATGAGATGGATTGACACAGTAACTGGGGCAATGGGGGCAGGTGTGCTGGATGGAGTCAGTGAGACTGGCTCAGATCAGGGCAGGCTTCAGAGCTGCCATACACAAGGTCACTATGAGTCACAGGCTACTGGATGGTACATAACAACAACAACAAAGAAATATTTGCAATATGTACATTGAAATATACACACACACAACAGAGGGGAATATCCATGACTATGTTTATAAAGAAGCTCTACAATTAATAAAAAAATGGGGGGAAGAAAAAGCAAAGCTAAGACTAGGCCACTCTCAGTGTGTGCATGACCAGGAAACATGAGCAGGTAGATAGTCAGTGGTCACCAAAGAAATAAACTTAGAACAATGAGGTGTCAATTCAACCTCTCAAAAAACCAAACATTTACACAGAGGAGCTAGCTGGGGGCAGGGTGTGGAGAGAGGCATCCAGGCCACTTAGTGTGAAAAGATGGAGGCTATGCCGGGGTACAAGCCACAGTAGCCGTGACAGAGTGACCGGCTGTCTCTCACTCAGCAGGTCCACGTCTGAGGTCTATGCCCCAAGGCTCTCGAAGATGCATAAGCAGTCAGAGATTTTGACCACTGGCCACACTGTGGGAGTCACAAGTGTGACCTACTGTCTGTCAACAAGAGAGCACCAGCGGCTGCTCACCCCTGGCCTGGGGTCTCCAGGGGTCCCGTGAGGCCCCCACGCTGGTGGGACGTGGTCACCACCAGTTCTCCTGAGTAGACAGTACCATGTGTGTAGTTTGCACAAAGAAAGATGAGGGGAGGCCAGACGTTTGTGCTGGTGCCTTGGCAGAGGGTGGGGGTCAGGGGCACTGTTTATTGTATAGACCTAAACTGCTGACCTTTTACAAATATGCATCTATTTTTAAAATTAGTGAAAGAATAAATAAACAAATACATTTTTTAAAGGAACAAAGTTACCCTGTGGAGAGATGTGTATGTAAAAAATTAGCACATATCTAGCAAGAATCAAAGTTTCTAAACAACAATACATTTATGTTTTTATCATGGATTGAGAGAACCCACAGCAGAGAGAAGGACAGATGTAAACTAACGTCCATTGCTTGGGTCTTCATTCTGAAAGACTCTGACTTTCTGGGAAACCAGGGGAGAGTAGTCAACCTCTGGTCAGTTTCTTTTCTGCACAGTGGGGATGAGGACAGGGGACATAAGAACTGTGTACATGACATTGGTCTGTGGGCTGGGTGACAGTGTCCTCCAAGGTGTAGCTAAGCATTTGGCATGTGACATGGTGCTTGCCGGGCAGCACAAGAGTTTTCCTCCATCCCTGACAAGAGTTTTGCTGGGAAAGCTGTTTTAAAATGCAGGCCCCAGGCAGGAAGTCCTGGAGGTCCTGCTGCCCAGTGGGCTGCATGGTGTCTGTGTAAGGGAGTGCATCTGTTCTAACTGTGCTCTCTCAAGGGTTTGCTGTCCACTGTCGGCACCACTGAGTTCAGGACATTCACACTTCCATCAGGCCCTGCCCAGAAGGCCTCTTACCCATGGAGACCAGCGACTCGTAGTTGCCCCGCATGACATTCTTGTACAGCTCCTTCTGCCACTCGGACAGGTTTCCCCACTCCTGCTCCGAGAAGTGGACGGCAACGTCATCGAATGTGACAGGGACCTGAAACACAGACACGAGCTGGGCCGGGAGGGTCTGTCCTCTGTAGTCCTGCTCCCTTCATCGGTTGGTTAATCCCACGGGAATGGTGCTCAGGGCCCACCAAGAGGGCTAGACAACTTGCCAGTAATGCACATACGGTGCATGGTACCCTTGTGTGGGGAGGACATGAAAACAAGGGATGTGGAAGCCTAGTGAGGGGGCTGGCCAGTACTGCCACTTCACTAGACTAACTGAAGAGACAAGACTGAGACGTAGCAGCAGAGGCAGAAATGGCAGCAGCAGGGCAGCCAGGTGCCCCGCTAATTTGGAGCTGAGCCCCAACTGGGCCAAGGGATCCCAGCAGGCCCGGCCACAGAGGACAGAAGCTACCCTAATCAGGCACTGTACCCTGGTCATTTCCACTCGATCCTGATCCCAGGCTGTCACCGTCAATTTTAACAGACCACAGAACTCAGAGTAGTTTGCAGCAAATTGTGGAACCAAGAGGAAAGAGGGGCCATCATGAGGGGGTGGCTGTCTCAGATGTGCTAGAGTGGTCTACCAGGAAGGAAAAGCTGGACAGTGGGGACACTCGTGACCTCTGCCACACATCAGCCCCTCTGGTTTGATCCTCATACCTTCCCTCTCTCGAGGCTTTGAGAAGCCTGGATGGCCTGGCTGCACAGGGAGGGCTTACCTCTTCTGCACCTGCCCCTGGGGTCAGGGCATTTCCACACTAAGGCGTGGTCAATACCCGTGCACCCAGGGACAACCCTAATGGTCATTACTGTACACAAGGCCATCCCTCAGTGGTCAGTGGGTGTGCCCAGGGAGGAGCCTCAGCGGTCATCACTGCACACAGGGACAGCCCTCAGTGTTCAGGGTGTGCCCAGGGAATGACCCTCAATGGTCATTAGTGCACAAAGATGACCCTCCGAGGTCAGCACTTGTGTACACAGGGAGACCCTCAGTGGTCAGCGGGTCGGTGCCTGCAGGCCATAGAGTGAGAACTGAGACCCCTTGGCACACAGGATACAGCCTGCTTCCAGTCTTCTCCCGTGAAAGCTGTGCAAAGGGGCAGAAGCACAGTGTGGACAGCGGACAGAGAACAGTCCACACCCTAACTCTTTCAGACCCTCTCAGAGAGCACATCACCACTGAGCCATGTGTCGGGTTTACCTGTCCCAGCCTATACCACACCGCGCTAACATGGCTTACAAGTCAGTCTGAACATGTCTCCAAGGTCTCCGTCCACCTCCGCATGGACCGCTGACCACTCAGGGCTCTCCACCTGGCTGGCACTGCCTTCACGCTCACACATCACAGCAGCACTGTTTTCCTACAGTGACAACCCCACCGTGGGGCTGATCCACATGTTTCCCTGAGCAGCAGCTGATTAGATTTGGGAGATTCTGTTCCCAGGGCGAGTTGGCTGCTAACACGAAGGGTGTTGGTTCCAGTCCTCCAGGCTCCAAGGGAGAAGACAGGCTGTCCCCTCCTGTAAAGATTTTAGCCTCGGGAACCAACACCAGCAGGCAAGTCCTCAGTGTGAGGTCGTGCCACCGAGCCAACTTCACTTCACAGTGGCCCTGTCCTGCACCATCCTTCCTGTCTGGTCTCAAATGCGGTGTTGATGCAGCTTGTGGGTCTTCTCTTCCCCTGGCCCTCCCTCCACCTTTCCCATGCACCCAGAAACTACCAGATTTTTTAAATCTTTCTTAACATTTCTTTCTTTTACATTAAACTAAATTCTTCAACTCCTTTGGAAGTCTGGACAGACAGATGGGCTTACCTTGGGAACCTCCCCATTGCTGCCCGGGGGCAGCCGCAGGATCCAGAAATTTCTGTTCTTCAGCAGGTTCTCCATGTTCTCGAGTCGCCGCTGCAGCAGCCCATACTCCTGCAGCAGTGTCCCCAGCACCACCCACTTGCTCTCCAGGTGATTTGCAAACTCCACAGCCGTCTTCTCGCAGTCGGCAATCTTCTTCTCATTTGTCCCAGTCCTGCCCTCCAGGGTCAGCAACCGCATGGCCTGGGCCTCCAGTTTCCTCTCCACTGCCTGGACAGCAGCCCACACAGCTAAGCGGGTGATCTCCGCTGTGGGGAGCGGCGTTTCCTTTTGGAGGACTGGGCTCTGCAGCAGGGGGTCCAAGTCTGTCTCAGGAATGGTGGGGGAGAGACTCAGGGGGTCTTTCTCAGGCGCCTCAGGGGAACGTAACGGGTCTTCTGGGGGGCTGGAGCGGCAGAGAAGTGACAGCTGAGGGTCAGCAGCGGGCGGTGGGTACTGGGTGTCTTCATGGGAGGCCAGGGGACACGGGAGGCGGGGCTCTTGCTGAGCTGGGTGTAGCAGGGAAGGTCCCTTTGGGGGCACATGCGGCATTCGGCCAGTGGTCTCCTGCTTGGGGACACCAGGAGTCTGAGGCAAGGAGCCTTGCCGGGGGACGGTGGGATGCAGAGATGGGATTTCTTTGGGGGGTAGAACACGAGACTGGAAGAGAGTTTCTCGAGGGAGCCCAGCAGGGGCCTGACGCACAGCCTCCTCCTGCGGAACATTGGGAAATGACAGAGGCGAAGAGTGCTGGGTCTCCATCTCCACCTGCTGGACCTGGTTACAAAGAGAGACACAGACTGAACACCTCCCCGTCCAGTAGGAAGAATCACATGAAAGGGGCCTCAATTAAGAGAGCGTTAAAATGGAGTCTGGGCACAGACCACTTCTTGGGGCCATGTTTACCCGTAAATGAGAACATGATTGTTAACAAGTAGAATACAACTATCCTGTTTCCAGGAGCCCCCATGGCGCACTCAGCCGCTCACCAAAAGATGCTCCCGGGGAGAAGATGTGGCCATTTGTGCCTCGGGAACCTCTGGCGCACTCTATAGGTACCCTGTCCTGGGGGGGGGGGGTGTCACCTTGAATAGACCTGACAGCACACTGGCATCTACACCTCTCCTGTGTCCCACAGAACACAGCCTTCCAGCTCTCAGCACCAATACTTCACACTGTTCAGGACTGACGTTACACAGGCTGCTATGTTGGTCTTGTCTGTAGGAGACGCGCTGCTGGCCTCTCTGACATCTGAATCCACAAGCTGCTCCATAGGAGAAAGATGGACAGTGTCCTCCCATGTGATCTACGGCCTTGGAAAACCTAAGGAGGGTCCAGCTACAGTCAGTTCCAACCTGATAACAATATTGTCATTGTTGTTAAGTGCCATCAAATTGCTTGAATCATAGTGACCCCGTGTACAATAGCTCTGATCCCTGCTCTATCCTGTATCAACTTCATTGTCTCTGACACACCTATCCTCCTTACCCCAGTCACTGAGTCAATCCAGCTCATTGAGGATCTTTCTCTCCTGCACTGTCCCTGCACCCTCCCAAGCATGACATCCCTCTCCAAGGACTGGTCCCTCCTTGCAACATGCCCAAAGTATGTCAGACAGAGCCTCAGAATCCTTGCCCCCAAGGAGCAGCCTGGTTTAACCCTCACCTGTTTAGAAAACTTGGAAAACTGACAGAGTATGCTGCAATTAGGTAAGATTCCCGCAAGGGAGAATGATGACCAGCTGGGAAGCACAGTGACCCCTTACAGGGCCTTGCCATTCAGCCCCCACAGTCCTGGGGCAGTCCCCATGTCCTTTCCTTTACTGTGTCTAAGGATAAAATCACAACATTACCCTTAAAAAGTATCCCGACTCCTAAAGGTTGGGTAAGCTGACTTTCCTCACCAACAGAGATGCTATGTCCTCAACCCCTCAGCAGAGGCAGAGCGGCACCAGATAGGTGAGAGCCTGGCATGTCCTGCCTGCGAGCAGTCAAGTCTGGCTCCTCCAAGTTCTCGAGGGGCGGGGGGAGGATGGAGAGCACACAGTTTAGCCAATTTTGCCACTTTCCTCAAGACTGGTGGCGCCTAGAGCCAAAATTCAGATTCAGGCTCCTTCTGAGATTCCAGTCATCTGCATGCTCCCCGCTCTCAACACCAAGTGGGAGAGCCCTGTGTCCACAGAGAGGCCTGTGGAGGCAGCTCACCATTCACCCGGCCCTCAGCATCTTCCTGGAGACAATGGAGTTTCTTTCACAACAGTTTCTTTTTTTGTGGCAGTGAGTCTGCAGAATGGACAATCACTTCACCTCAGGCACACTAACTTTAAACAAAAGTCCTGCTTCCCCCCCCAAAGCCAAGCACATCCCTGATGTCCAACCTGACACATAGTGGGGTCAATGAATGCCTGCCAAGTTAGAGAGAAAGGTTATCTGAGTAAATGATGTTTTCCTTACTCAGCTGCAGGTTCACGGAAGTCTACTTTTTACTTACACAGCTTGCTGGCTTTTGTTCATCCATCTTCATTGTTCATTGTGTGGTTTAACTGAAAGAGCACCACACTTGAAGCCAAAGATCAAGGGTTCAAGGCTCTGTTCAGGCCCGAGGATTCTGACACAGCATGCCCCAGAGGCTGTGGGATGGGAGGACTATTTGGTTGGGTGGCTGTTGTTGTTAGATGCTGGCAAGTACAACTGATTGCCCATCTTTTCTTTGTAGAGCAGCTGGTGTATTCAAACTACGTGCTTTCAGGTTAGCAGCACAGCTCCTTACCACTAGGCCACCAGAACTCAGATGCTGTCAAGTACAATTGAAAGAGAGCCCATGAACTTGGTTGAGTAAGAGCTAATGATAACCCAAAATCTCTTATGCATCGGGAATTGTGTGGAGTATTTTAGAGGGTCTATCATTTGACATTCACAACAACCCTATGAAGTGGATGGAACTAACATCCAGATTTAGCAGAAGAGGTCACAGCCTCCCACGTCCAAGGACACAGCCCACAGGCGACAGTCTAGTTGCCTAAGGTCCTCATTTGTGAACAGCTGCACAGTGTGAGGTCTGCAGCCCTCTGGCTGCTAAGATTTGACGCTTGCCGATTATACAAAGATCTACTGGAGATGCTGGGGGGTGGGGAAGACATCACGCTGGGAAATGCAGAGGGTCAGCGAAGGAAAGGACAACCTTCAGTGAGATGGACAGACACAATGACCCTAACAACCGGCTTGAGCATGGTGGAGACTGAGGATGGGGCAGGTAGGGCAGTTTCCACCTGTTGTTCAGAGGGTATGCTTAGAGGCTCCGGGTGTAGTGGACTCAATGGCACCTAACAAAACAAAAGGAGATGCAGCCCTAGTCAGTAGATGGGCCTGCCCTTGAAGTCAGAGATCCCTTTGAAAATCTAGACAAAAGTTACAGATTCTCCTCCTCAAAGAACACAGTTTTGCAAACACTGTCAAGACTCCTAGACCCTTAAACCTTAGGTTAATTCAAGCCAACTTTGAAAGACTCTCAACAGGTGATGGTGGGGTTGATGGCCCTCCTGGCAGGAGCCTGGCATAGGAAAAGCGACCCCTAAAGCAGTGGGCACATGAGGGCCCCCCATGAAATGGAAATAGATTCCCCACAGGCCTACAGAGTGACTAGGCCCACGGAGTGAGTAAAGGTAAAACTGGGGAGCAGACAATTCTGGGAGCCAAACCGCAGGCTTCCCTGAATTACAAGAGGCTTAAGGGCAATACGGGCTGTGCTGGGGGGGGAGGCCCATGTAGGAACTCAGCCGGTCCTCTCTGTGCCCTCTCCTCTCCACGCTGGACCTGGAGGAGGCAGAAACTTGGGCCCAAAGGTGAACCTCCCGCCCCCTTTTCCAAATAAAGTCCCTCGCTGTAATGACCGGTCCCAGCAAGCAGAAAGAAATGGCCAGTGGGCACGGGGCCGTAAACACATCCCTGGCTCCGATGCCCACATTCATAACCTGGGGGGGCTTCTCAGACTTGGCCGCGTTGAACGGGGTCCCCGGGATTCACGCTGTTTCAGCAGAAAGATGCAAAGGAAACATGGGACTCAGAAAGCTGTGTCATTTTCCTATCAGGCCCTGCGTGGCTCATCCAAGAGCCTGGGGACCTGAGCCCACAGGTAGGTGCGTGCAATCTCCATTTTCCCTCGGTTCCCGAGAGGATTCTTATTATCATGGGGCGCCGGCAGGGCTCCGTGCAGAGCGGCGCGTCGGTCCCTCCCAGACCCAGAGGCCGAGGTCCGCGCGCACCAACCGCCCGCAGCAGCCGGGCGCCTGCACCCGCGCGCGGGGCTGGACAGCCGGGAGACCGGCTTCTCCGCAGGGCCCACTCCCGAGGGCCGGCCCGCGGAGCCTTCCCGCGCGGCTGCCCACAGCCCGTCCGTGTGGCCTAAGGGGCGCGCGGCACGGAAAGGGCAGCCCCCG